GTATAGTCGGCATTGATTTGCCTTGTAACACGTGGTCTCGGGCCCGGCGGGCACCTTGGTGGTCCAAGATGCCTTCAGCTTTGAGGTCAGACGCCTGCATTTCTGGGATACCCAACCTGAAGGAGTCAGGCCAACGTAAAGTAACGGCTGCAAACCACATGGTGCGACAATCGGTACGCTTGATTCGCTGGTGTGTTGCAAATGGCCGATGCGGATATTTGGAGAATCCCTGGACTAGCATGGTTTGGTACGTTCCACGTATTCAACGACTGTTGCAACAAGGACTTGCATTTTTGGTGCGTGCTGACATGTGTCAATACAACACGCAATGGCGCAAACCAACTGGCATACTGGTTTGGGGCTGCAGTCCATTTTCCATGAAGACATGCGGGCAGGGCTCCAAATGTAGCAGAACGCACAAACCTCATGTGCAACTGACGGGCGTTGCGGGGGGCAAATTCCGCACGCATCAAGCCCAAGTTTATACACATGAATTTGCTAGAGCGCTCCTGCTGCAAATCTCCCACCACAGAGCCCACCCATGAGCCATTTTGAACATGGGGTTTGGGGGCTCGCGCACCAGGGTCTCGACAAACTGAGCCTTGGTGTGCGCGTTTTCTTTTTCAGTGCATGCAGGCGAGTTTTGCAAAGCGCAACTCCCTACTACCCAGTGACACCGAGAAGGTGCTCAGAAAAGTCTGGCAGCAGCACAGATGCATGATAGTCTTTAGACAGTTTTGCAGGAGTGATGCGATTTCCGTGGCCTAAACATCTCAAGATCTTGACTGCTCCCGCCCTCCCACCCGGGGGCTCGCACACCAGGGTCTCGACAAACTGAGCCTTGGTGTGCGCGTTTTCTTTTTCAGTGCATGCAGGCGAGTTTTGCAAAGCGCAACTCCCTACTACCCAGTGACACCGAGAAGGTGCTCAGAAAAGTCTGGCAGCAGCACAGATGCATGAAAATGATGATGTGATGATGACGATGAACAGGATGATGATGATGACGATGAACATGATGATGAAAATGATGATGGTGATGAAGATGAGAATGATGATGATGATGATGATGATGAACTATGCACCCCGGCATCACCTCGTATGACAATCATGACTACGCATCCCCTGCATCTCAAGTCAGGGTCTAACGGCGCACTTAAATTGCATGTGAAAAAGAAGAGCGCCACGGTTTTGATGATGAACGTGATGAAGAACATCATGAAGAAAATGATGGTGAAGATGATGATGAACATGATGGTGATGATGATGAGCATGAAAGTGAGGATGAACATGATGATGATGATGATGATGATGATGATGAACACGGCCATCATCATCATTCCCATCATCATGTTCATCGTCATCATCTTCATCATCATTTTCATCATCATGTTCATCATCATGTTCGTCATCATCATCATCACGCTGATGATAATCATCGCCACGCATCCTCAGCATCACCAGCAGTTAGCGTCATCACTGTGCATCCCCAGCATCAGCAGCAGCTATCCATCAGCAGCGGTTATCGTGACAATCGTGACAGCGCATCTTCTGTATTTCCAGTCGGGTCTAACGACACACTTGAAAAGTATATGAAAAAGAAGAGCGCCGCGGTTTTGACAATGAACATGATGAGGAAAATGATGCTGTGATGATGACGATGAACAGGATGATGATGATGATGATGATGCACATGATGATGAAAATGATGAAAATGATGATGATGAGGATGATGATGATGAGCAGGATGATGATGATGAACACCACCATCATCATTTTCATCATCATTTCCATCATCATCGTCATTTTCACGTTCATCATCATCTTGATGGTAATCATCACTACGCATCCTGAGCATCACCAGCAGTGAACGTCACCACTATGCATCCCCAGCATCAGCAGCAGTTATCATGACAATCATGACAACGCATCCTCTGCATTTCCAGTCGGGTCTAACGGCACACTTGAAACGCATATCAAAAAAAGCGCCACGGTTTTGAGGATGAACAGGATGATGGTGCAAATGATGATGATCATGAACATGATGATGATGATAAGGTGATGATAATGATGCTGATGATTATGAACATGAACATGATGATGATGATGAACACCATCATCACTTTCATCATCATTCTCATCATTCTCAGCATGATCATCATGATCATCATGTTCATCATCATGTTCATCATCATCATCCTGATGATCATCATCACTACGCATCCTCAGCATCACTAACGTCCCAGCATCAGCAGCAGTTATCATGACAATCATGGCAACGCATCCTCTGCATTTCGAGTCGGGTCTAACGGCACACATGAAAAAGAAGAGCGCCACGGTAATGATCATGATCCGGATGCTGTGAACCATCACCCAACATCAGTGGTGATGATAATCATCACTGAGACAAGGACAAAGACAAACCCTTCCCATGCGCCTCCCCTTTGGAGAAAGGGGTCGGCGGATTTCGGGGACGGAGGCAACTGATTGTCACAATGTTTGCCTTTTCAACCAAGTCAGTGTTTTGCGACTGTGAGACTGCCAAACTGAGCAACATCTATCCATTTGCGTCGCGAGAAGTCAGTCTGAAGTGAGTTGGCCCCCGCACACGTTCCAATGAAAGACGGCTGAAGGATCCAGTCCTGGACAGCCTGAGCTTGATTCTTTGCAGCTGCCCCCCCCCCCCCCGCAAAAGCCAAGGAACTTGCGCTATTGTGCGCCCGCCGCGATCCTCGCATTGCGGCGACTGCGACAACTGTGTCCTTCGATATGATCACCATTGCCCTTTCGTCAACAACTGCGGCCTGACTGTCATAGCCCGGGTTCCAGGTAAAGGGGGGCTTCCTTGGTTGGGTTGGTGCTCGCTCTCAGCGCGGAGTTGCATGTGTCTTGTTCCGGCAGGCGTGGGACAGCGCAACTATCATTACTTCTTCGGTTTTATATCGTGTGTAATGGTCCTGGCGATGATGGTGCTTCCAGCGACTTGGCATGCAGTGGTGCAAACGTGGCCCTTGGACTTGTGCAAGAAACATGACAAGCACAGCGGATCGAGGAACCCAAGGTCGAAGCTGGTGAGACACTTCACGAAAAAAACAATTCAAGATATCCCAACACTTTGCTGAGACCAAGCCCCGGTGGCAAGCCCTTGGCTTTCCACAGAGAGAGATGGCAAGGCCTTGACTCTACACCTCCTCAACCCAAGACGGGATAGGGCGATCAAGAATGCTGCCAAGCTGGATGAGAGAATGTCCCTGTTCTTCTATTTGCTGATCGGAGTGGGGGCGAGGCCCTGAGGTTATTTTTTGCCAGCACGTTATGTCGTGTGTCTGTGTGTTGCACTAGATGCATTTTTGACCTGGTACTCAAAGATAATGCTTCCAATCACGGTCGTTCCAAGCCTTCAGAGATGTTGCACCAACCCTTGCGCCAAGGTGCTTGCTGCATTTGCAGCCTTTCTTTCAATGCTCCTGTGGGCATACCACTTCTTTCTTATTGTGCGGTGCTGAGCTTCTGCGACATTGAGCATGCGCCATGTTGTTGCTGCGGCTGCCCTGTTGGTTGTTTGATAGATTCCCGCTTATTATTCTTTCCCACTTCCGCTATTGCGCACCTAGTTCTGCCCTATCAGGTGACCAAGCAGACCACCAAAGAGTTCCGACGTGGCAACTTTGCTTAGAATATGTTGCCCGCTTATGTGATTTGGCGCCTACCAGGTCGCTGCGAAGGGGCAGATGTAGGGAGACTCCCGATGCAAAGCAGCAAACAGGGAAACAGGCATGCCTATTCCAGTTGGGGGTGTCTTCATCAAATGGATGCTCCATTTTGCTTTTCTTTCGCCAGCACCAGGTGGTTTGAGACAGGGAGGTGTATATTGGCAGGGCACGGGCGGCTTGTATGGTGACAAGTTGCAAACAGCGCTTGTGTCATTGGGTAATTGCGGCCGATCGCGACTTGCAATTCGGAAGGATGTGTCGGCTTATCGCATCCTGCACTTGAGTAAGGAAAGCAATTGGCCACAAACACTTGGTGATGATCGATGCTTCCTTGACCCAGGCTTGGTTAGGCAAGTTCTGGTCCCACCTGAGGTGTGCCCAACATCGATGAGGAGCCGACGCTCTGCGCCTCACGGGGCCCAGCGCTCTTTGACCCTTGGGCCATGGTGGACCCCAATGACTTCCGAGTCAGGAGGCGATGAGCCGATGAGGAAACAGATGTCGGGCCACGCCGAGTGGTTGGACAGCTCGGTGGCTTATCATAGGTGGCTTGCCAGTGGTAAATCCGGCTTGCATGGAAGTGTCGGCCACCTTGGGTGCAAGTGCCAACCTGACACGTGACACTTCGGCCAAAACCACTTCATGCCACATAGTGTGGCCAGAAGTGATCCCCAAAGCAAAGAGCACCTTGGCCGCCATGCTGTTTGCTGCATGTCGGCGCCTTCATGGTGCAAAGGCCCACGGCCAGATTCCTATTGTTGCTTGAAGCAGTTGACGTCTACCCTTGGTTAGGCAAGTGGGGCCTTGAGGCCTGAAAATTGGCCTTCTGCTTGGCTTGGCAGCCACCGCCGAGAAGTAGGCTGCGCGCCAGTGGAAAAAAGCGAAGCGAGGGAGTCTGGGGGTGTAAGCTCGATGCCGGCTTCGGGTTGGCCCTAGCTTGCCTCAAATAGCTTTACCGGGAGGACCCTTGCGGTGCCAGGAGACATCAATTCTGTTATGTGGCACTCGTGGTAAAGGATGGGGCTGCTGCTGGTCGCTAGACAACCCTTTGCGCGCCGTTTTGCACAAAAGTACAGGAGGACAATAAGCTTTCGATCCGGGACTCCGCGGAGAGGTCCTTGTTTGAAGCTTTCCATGCACGGGACCCTTCGTGGACGAGTGAAATGGTTGCAAGCATTTCCAGTGAAAAGTGGACTTTGCAGAAGCTGCGAATTCAAATTCGCGGCAGCTCTTGTCAGAAAACTGTTTCCATGAGGTGGTCAGCTGCAAGATCCTTCGTACCGTGCTAAGACAGCCACCAACGCCGACTTCGTCGTTGCGACCCGCGGGGAGAAAGGCTCCCTTCTGCTGGCCAGGCCTGCGGGCCGCGCCGAATTTTGATGGGTCACTTGTTTCATCAATGCGGACAAAATCCTGCAGCAGTCTGGATGAATGGAATCCTGTCAATATTAGGATAACTCACCTATCAACTGGTGCAGGAGTTCATCGACCCACCGTACCAACCAAGGCCCAAATGGGGCATAACGGCAAAAGGGTAACGGTCATTAACCTCCACCGCCTGATCACTCGAGAAAGGACATGATCCCAGAAAGTGGATCATTTGCTTCGGCCAGCTGGCTATTCATACTCTAGTTGGCACCTTCCATGAGACTGACTTTGCTCACTTTGTTGGCATTTGTAGCCAGGATCAGCAATCCCCCAGTTGTCTATTAGGGGCGTCCCATGTTGGAGCTAAACTTTTGCTTTTCGAGGACACACCCCTCCATTTAATCCGCCAGTTAATCCGAGGCCAACATCAGCTTTCGTTGAGCAGCGTCGTCTCATGTCGTCTCCGCTCGTGGCTTCGCGCCAGAAACGCCATTGATGGAAGCTCATTGCATTTCAATTGCGGGCCTCAAGATGGTTGATCAAATTGCAAAGTTTGCAACATGCGGGGGTCATGAGCAGCGCAGTGCTGTTCTCGCTCCTTAGGCCAAGCTGGGTAAGCCAGGAGGAGCTGGGAGTGAAGGCGAGACCGGTAGCCGTCACCGTCACTGCAACGGGCAAATGAGCTACAAGTCCAGCACAGATCTGGTAGTCAGGCTCAGGCTCGGTTGGGTTTCTCCATGGTCCTCCATCTACATGCAGACTGCCTTGTTCGATGCCATGAATGATGTGACTCTTGCACGAAGCTTTTGCTGAAAATATACAGGCTAAGACAAAATTAGCGTTGTAGGGACTAGTTGCGAAGTCTCTTGACCAACGAAACCGTTTCTATTTGCTGGATTTGTTTCCTGGGAAAGCATGCCAGCCCTGTTGCGTTGCCTGCTCGCGCGCGTCCCAGCCTAGCCCCCGTTGGTCTCAGGAACTGTCAGCCCTCAAGGTGCCAGTGGCTGAAGCCTTACTTTGCAGGGTTTGTGGAGGTTTGGCTGCATTTGTGGGGTAAGGACCGAGCAAGCTCGGAATTTGGCAACTGAAGCCAACAGCTTTTCTCAGACATGTGGTGCGCTGACTCTTGAGGTTTGCTGTGCCGGTTCTTACGAGGGTTTCTACACTTTGGCTTGTGATGCAGCTGCCTCAGACGTTGCAGTATTGTTCGCGTCGTGTGTGTGTGTGTGTGAGTGTGTATGTGGAGGCATCCACTTGTGAAGCTTGAGTGCCGCACAAATCAGTCGCCCCAATGGGTGGATGTAGGGCATTGCTTGCCCCAGGCCTGGCCTCTGGAAGAGCCTTTGGTGGACAGCACCGGGGCTGGGGATGTGTTCATTGCAGGCGAGACTTGGCTGGCCAGGACGACCTGTGTGAGGATGCTGGAGAGAGAGAGAAGAAAGAGAGGACGAGAGGAGGTTTGGGATGGTTTGAGGGCTTCCTGGTGAAGTATTGTTGTCGCCAACAATTGGAACCAGACCATGCGTTCCACTACTCTTGGATCCCTGTCTTGAGAACGAGCCTTGGCTTTGCACTCACGTCCGCTTGTTGCTGTTCCTGTGATGTCCTGGGACGATGGGAATTGTGAACCTGGCGCGGGCCGCTGCTCAAAAGCTTTGCTGCGCCTCATGTGGTGCAGTGAAAAGGCTTAAGTGCCTAGTAGGTCGGGCTTGGACCAGGGGTCCAGCTTGGGCACTTGCCGGAAACAGGGTCCATCTTTGAGTCAGTGAGAAGGGCTGATCCTGATCAATATTCTTCCATGATTCCTGTTGGGCACCTCTCCACTCATTGGACCCACATCCATTGGGCATTTTCGTTGGAAAGCAAGAAAGCGGGCACACTTTTTCTGCGACTTCCGGCGGGCGCCCTTGGGTTGGCCTGGCCTTCATGCGCCCAGTTCAGTCGGCTTCAGGGCCCAAGCCTCGCCTTTCATTAGAGTTCGGGTTCAGGGCATGGAGCCGCAGGGTCTGGGTTTCTGGGGCTACGGCTTGGGGCTCACATTTGCTCTTTGATCCCCACAGATCAAAGGCCAGGCCAGGCCATCCTAGCTCCGGCCCCGCATAAGTTCGGCCTGCGCCGAACGCGCCCACTCGGCGGAAAGAAGCCGGGTGCTCATGGCGCAGTCGGGCAGGGAAGCCAAGTCGCAACGGATGGGGACGGAGCCGGGGTTTGAAGAGTGGGACCTCCCCTTCATTGGGGGGTGAACGGTGGGAAGCCTCAGCTCTTTGGCTAGATTATGTTGCTGGCGATTTGTGTTAGCAAGCTCACAGATGAACCGTTGTAGTTTCTTCTTTTTATTTGTTGATTATTTGTCTTTCTTCTTTTAAATAGCAACATATTATGTGGATTTCATTGGTCTCTAGAATCCCAAGGAATAAATAATTATGAGAATGTGGCAATGCAAGCAAATCTCTATGCTGCCAGCACGGGATGCCTTTGGTAGACAGGCACGAAAAGAGCTGCAGTTGACGGAACTGGGCTTCAATGAACTTGCCCTGGACTGCCCCTTGTAATCATGAGTTTTTTGTTTTTTCTTTCGTGAAGCCCATATCGACATTTGCTGCCACAACGTTTTTTGTGTCTGTTTTTGGAAACCTCGACGCTCACTGCTTCTTGTTTGACGGGTTTCTCTTGCCCCCCATCTGGCTCGCTGTTCGCGCAAGGGCGGTCTCGCCGGGCCGGGCCCTGGCGAGAGGAGCGGGAGCGCGAGGCAGGACTGCGGAAACTGAAGGCTTTGCAGCACCCAAAGGCTCGGTGCTTGGTGATGTTGCTCTGGTGAAGGAAAGCACCTGCTAGTTGAGTTGGCCATTTGGGACCGGGGACGGTGGCCCCTTGTGCTTGACCGATCTGGATGTAGACCTCACCGCCTGCAGTAAAATTCCAGGCAAAGCCACTATATGTTGCCGTGTCCAATGCCAATTCTGAGTGTTTTTCTCTTGGGCAGCCACCTGCCCGCCAGGCATTCGCTTGAGCAAAAACAGGTCGACCTTCTCTGCAATGGGTTTCACTGCAGATTGAATGAACACGTGCCGTCCTCCTTGGTTTTTCATAGAATTACACTGAGGATTTGTCCTCACGCCGACGCTTGTCCCTCTGCATTTCTTCGGTGGGTTGCAACATCTCCATTTTGCATTCTCCGCGACATGCCCCTCCCGTTGTTTTGCTTCCCGATGGTTCTCTCTGTGCGCCCAATGCCCGCGATGGAATCTCGGGCTGTCCAGGGAGTCGCCTCGCAAGGTGCCGGTCTTGGGGCCGGGGGTGAGTCGGAAAAAAAAAATGGGCCCCCAAAGTGCATCGACTTAATTGACTGGGGTTGGCTCACGCATATTCAAGGGCGACGTGACTCATTGCAGGTGTTTTTCAGCACTGCTATTCAATGCCGGAGGTTGTTTCTTTGACGTGCTAGTTAGCCCGCAATGTCACCCTGGTTGCAACTCCAAGCATGCGGATACTTCGAAAGTGCGATGCCAGGATATTTGCAGTGCAGAGTTTGAACACGGCACAATGCATCCGGATTAATTGAATCCTCGGGTCCTAGTGCTTTGAATTTCCCGAGGTGGCCAAGGACTGACGTGCTGGTTTCTGCCGATGTGTCAAAATGTGTCAAGCTATGCTGTGAGTGCCAGCTGCAAGCACACATGTGCGCACATGCGCACAGATGCGTTCTTGGCACACAACATCAGTTTGCTGAGTCGCGAGAAATTGGATGACTATGTGGATTGCGGATTTTGAGCTGCGATTTGTTTTTAGGTCTTAGGGAAAAGCTCCTCCGGCACAGGAGAGCGCGGGCGAGAGGCGGGCGCAGAAATTGCTTGGCTTGGCAGTCTGGAGTCGGGCGCCGCGTAGTGTGCAACCTACTCTATTACAAATCAAGAGTTGCAGCATTTCGCTCAGAGATTCCAATCCGAAACCCTGCTGATTTGGGGGCCTAACGCTCAACAACTCCAACCTTGTCTGACTTGCGCCGGCTAGCGCGGAAAATCCAATTTTCAGTTGCTTGCTTGCCCCGGTGCATGTCGCAAGTACCAAACAACAGCCAGACAACCAATGCAAACTTCTGCCAGCCCTGGTTCCATTTTGCCTCGCGAGGCCACATGGCAGTCTCGCCTCAGCTTCGACAAGGACAAGCAGCTGAAGGTAGCGATGAGCGGCTTTGGCATGACCGACGAGGTGCGGAGGTCGAGCATTGATTGTTGCCGTTGAATCGCTGATGGTGATCCAAAAGGGAAATTCAGCTTGGAGCCTGCTTGCCACATGCTGTGATGCAGGGCAGGTTTCCAGTATGTTCGCTGTTGATTGAGTGTCAGGTCTTTGGTTGTGTAGTCTACGGTCTACCGTTCTGAAAGCAAACGCGCGGCGCAGTGCAGGGCAACTCAAAAATTTGTCGGCGCTCGCTGTAATGCCTGGAACTGCCCAGGGAATCGAGGAATGGAGCGCGTGGTTCCGGCAGTCTGCCTTTGGCTGGGGCCCTGACAGCTAGCAGCTACTAGCAACAGCTTCATTCCTTTCTCAACTCGTGAGATTCGTTTGACAACATTGGCACGTGTTGGCAAGCAAACTAGCAGCAACAGCTTCATCCCTTGCTCAAGTCTGGGTGTGAAATTCGTCTGAGACGGGTACTGTCGCGGTCCATCTCGTTTGCATAAACGCGCCCCTGTCCTGAGGCAATGCTCACAAGATACGCGCCAGCCTAGTGGATTTCGCTGAGCAGCCTGGCACAAAGCGGCTGTTGAGGATTTTTGGCGGGCGACCTTGGAGGCAGGACATCACTTGAAGCTAGCCGCACGCCATGGGAAAAGAGTTGCGAGTTGTTGGGTTCTACCTAGAAGCTTGTGCCAATTTGGGTTGGTGGCGAATACCAAGCTTTGGATAGGCATCAACCTTTGGGTAGGTGAAACCCAGATTAAATTGGCAGTAGGTCTGAATGAGCCAGCGACCAGCAGCTTCTTATGTTGCACCTTGAAGGGCTTTGATTCTGCCCGCAATTCAGTCAAACCAGCTTGTCGAATTGGCTTGCGCGAGTGGCGAGTTTTGATTGCATACTTTGCCGAGCTTGGATTGTTGGTTGGGGATGGCTTGCCTTTCTGCACGTAGTCAGGCAAGTGGCCATTGAGTCTATGGCACTTAAAAGCCATAAGTTCCGCGTGACACATGGCTAGGAACTGCAACTTGCAGGCTCATGCAAGCGAAGCATGCCCAAGACTAAGGAACAAGCTTACTTCGGCAGGGGCTTCGACGTTGTGCCGCGCCCAGCGGTGCTCCGTAGGGAAAGCGCTCCAGAGGCATTGCAGACGATTTGACCCCTGAGGCGGCTAGTGCTGTGAGGAATGAACATGCACGTGATGGGTAACTTGACTTGACAACTGCATCGCGGGTTTTGAGCGGCTGATGGATAATAGGAAATAATATAGTATACCTGCTTGACGTTTTCCTGTACCGGGGTCAGCCTCATACTACATACATGCAGCCCGCCAAGGTTGAGGACCTTTGCAGCAAGCAACATCCCGGTTCATGCCCTGTGCTCAGTGTTTTCTCCTGCCACAGGAGCTTACACGTGATTCGTCTTTGAGTCATCAAGGGCCCTGGCACTGATGAATTCATTGGAAGCACTTTTAACATCCACGGGGGAGGCAGCCTGTTGACCCCTAACACAGCTTCACGCAGAACAAGGCATACAACTTCCTAAAAACCAATATCAGGTGGCGAAGGATGCCTCTTAATGACGTCGGATAATCTCGGAAATTGCATGCCTCAAAGCTATGGCATGACATGGTTAAAGCGACAAGTTTTGTGGGCAGGGGCCCAACCTTGAGTTGGAGCTCATGCCATCACGCATCACCTTCCTGGCTTCGAAGGAAGAACGCAACGTACATGACACGATTTCGGCAATGTTAGTTTTCTGGTTGCAACCATGCTGTGAATTCAGTCACTGCTAATGGGTCACGCCTTCCCCTCAGAGTGCCCCAAGCATTTTGGATTTCTTACAGCACCTCATGAACACATGCTTGCTGGCTTGACCGTATCGATTGATCAGGTTCTCAAGTTGCACCACAATATCATCAGAGAAGGTAGCTGGTCACCTAGTGGGCGATGCTTTTGCATCGGTGCAGCTGCGTGATAGCGTGAAGTATGAAATTGCAGCGCAGGCTTGAGGTAGAAAGGTCTTTCACAAAAAAAGTAGCGCTGCGGGAGTTGCAGCGCACCGCGCTCGCCTCCCAGCTGCAGGTGGCTTTGCGGAGTACTTGAGGACTGTGCGGGCTGAATGGCACCAAGGCTCAGATCAGCCTCAAGTAGTGGTGCTTGCGTTGCCGACTTAATTGGCTTCGGCTGAGGCGTGACCACAATCCTGCCAAAGCGGCGGTAACTTAAGCCAAATCAGCTTGTCTTGCTCACTTGTGCAGCGCAACTGGCCGCGCGA